ATGGGCGGTCAACCAGATTCACCGTGATTAGTCTCACCCTAGTGTAATCTTTTGATTTTGGATAGTTTAGGTGGATGGTTGGGCCTGTTGCAACGTGGGATAGCGTTGGACAGTGGATAGTTAATATTAATTAATTATTACAACTGTTTAAATCTTTCAATTTCTGTTTTTTTTAATGCTCGCTTTATGCAAACGAACCACTTTAGCTCTTCTTTGATAATTCCCTGCATCATGCCTCTATTCCGGTATGACTTGCTGAGTACAGTGGGTAGTACTCAGTCTTGCTCTTTTTTTTCCCAACCCCAGAGCACGAGTATGTGTCAGATGAAGGTTTCTCCGAGGAGTAGGCTTCGTCCGTGTCGTCGAGGATGCCTGTGGAGTGGTGTTCCCGCTGCAGTGCTAGTCAAGGCTTAGCTCCTGTTGTCTTTCGTTTTTCCGCTGCATTTATGTAAGACTTTTATGATGTTTGTAAGACGTGGATCTGAATGTCAACATTGTCGTTTGTGTACCCCGGCCGGTCCTGGACGGGGATTTTAATGCACATTCTGCTTGGAATTCTATTCGGGAATTTCTGGGCGTGACACAACGCAACCAAGGACGGGTAGACGCGTAGTCTTAGTGCGCGTCTGTTTTTATCGTTTATCTTCTGCTTGAGTTTGTTTCCTTTTGTGCTTTTTGGTATGGACTATATCGGCCCGTTGTGACATAGCTATACCTTTGTGGTGCTTAAGCAACTTGAACTCTATGTAACCAACATCACATCAGTAAAATTTAAATAAGTTGGTTTAATAGCTCGTGTTCTTGTCCTAATCTCTCCTTTCTTTCTTTCCCTCTCATCTTGGTTACTACAGATGGTAAACACAAGGAGTACTGCTGCTAACAATGTTCGTGCTGGGAACTTAGCTAAGAATCAGAATCAGAATCAGAACTAGAATCAGGACCAGGGCCACACACCACCACCGCCACCACCACCGCCACCTCCACCAATCCATGATCACCCCAACTTAGCACAAGTGCTCTCCAATCAAAACCAACTCATCGCAGCTTTGCTCCACCAAATGCAAAACCCACAAGCACCCGCTACTCAAGCTCCCATACACGCTCCACCGCAATCAAAGCTGTCGGAATTTCTCCGAGTCCGACCTCCCACTATTTCAAGCACAACCAACCCCGTCGACGCAAATGACTGGCTGCACGTGGTTAACAAGAAGTTGGACCTCATCTAGTGTACTGATGAGGAGAAAGTCGCTTTCGCCACTCACCAACTGCATGGCCCTGCTTCCGAGTGGTGGGACCACTTCCAGGCCACCCAACCAGCTGGACAAGTTATTACTTGGGCTCATTTCTCTATTGCTTTTCACAGAGCTCACGTACCTGCTAGAGTTGTAGCCCTGAAGAAGAAAGAATTCTGTGAACTCAAGCAAGATGGCAAGACCGTCATTGAATTTTTGCACGAGTTCAATAGGTTGGCCTGCTATGCTCTCGAGGACGTTCGCAGCGATGATGAGAAGAAGGAGAAATTTCTTGAAGGGTTGAATGATGAGTTGTCAGTCCAGCTCATCTTTGGTGACTACGAAGACTTCCAAAAGCTAGTCGACAAGGCGATCCGCTTGGAGGACAAGCACCGGAAGATGGAAAGCAAGAAGCGCAAGTTAGCTAATGCGAGTCAATTCGTGTTGTTTGATAGTGTGTAGGTGACTTGTGGTCAGTCTTGGTCAATGGTGAGGATCGAGACTATGCTCAGGGAGGAGCAGAGGTCCAGTGCGGTCGAGATACCATGTGAGAAAGCGACTAGAGTTAGGATTTTTGGAGGTCAACTTCGGTCAACGGTGGGATCGGGACTAGACCAGGGAGCAGTTGAGGTGCAAATGGTCAATGATAATGGGTGACGAAGTTGGATATGAGATGGTACACAGTGGATGGACGCCGTGTGGGAGAGATCTTTGCAACGGGCTTCACGAGGTGTTTGTACATTCAGCGTCGGTGTTCGCGAAGGAAATCAGAAGGAAAACTGTTGAGGATTATATGGTTTCTACAGTGCTCGATGTATATGGAAGATTATCATGCAGCATATGCGATGGTACTGTATCATGCAGCATATGCATGGAGGATTATCTGCGGCTGATGTATATGGAAGAGATATTTACAATTTGGAAATTGTAGTTTGATTTGGAAATTCAGCAATAGAGTCCTATTGGGAATAGGAGTTGTATTTCTACTTTGAGTAGGAGGTATTCGGTATAAATAGAGAGGAAGGCTATGCCTTGAGGGTAAGCCAAGTTTGAGAGATTAGATAGGGTTTCGTGAAAACTTGCGAGGGGTGCTGTGGCTGCATCTTATAAACAATACTTGAGCAATAAAGGTCATATTTAATCATCAAGGCATCAATGATCTATTCTAGTTTTGTAAGTTTTGCGTTTATGTTTGATTTTGGCATTAACTTGTGATTGTTCGTTTTGCTACGATTTTGTTCAATTTAGTCCATCGAAAACCTTCCTAATACTTCATAGATCAGATCTAGAAAGTTTCATTCGTTGGTTCGTGCTAGATTCGAATTTGCTTAAGTTTTATGTTTAGTTCAGATTTGCTGAAATTCCGAGACAATTGACTTTTGAGGGTGTTTTCTCTTAAACCCTTTTTTAGTTTGCATATCCCTCCGGTGGAGTTGTTTCTTGGTTTGTCTAGTTTATTCTATTAAGTTTTCAACTTGATCCAATAGTTGGAATAAGAGAAATTGACATTTGACATTAAGAGACCAGCCATGCCTCAGTTGGACCGACCTTAGCAGGTCAGATAGACCGCCAGATCTATCAAGATTCGATTATTTAACTTCCACTGACTTAATCGTCCATCCCCCTCTTGTAGCCTTGGTTACTTGTGTTCTCTCCTACAAATTAATGGTTGGAGATGCTTACATTATGTTGATACACAACTTATTTCGTGTCAGCTAAGCACCGATACCAATACTAACTGGACATTATCTGGATGTTCTTATAATAACTAAAAAAAGTATGGCTGCTAAAATCGTATTATGATGATTGTAAATTGTATTACAAGTTTGTGTTAATTAAAACATGCAAAATGAAAATAGCATGGCCCTTTAATTGTCATTTACCAAAAATTAATATTTATAGAATTCAAAGTTAATACTATGATGCTGTAATTATCGTCAATTTTTAATTTAGTGTTGTATTAATTTAATTTGGAAAGTAGAATTTAGCAAGTTATGATCCAGGGCTTTCTTCAATCTCCTTTTTAGGGCAGTTAGTCTCGTATACTGAGGACAACCGACGACATGATTGCCCTGTAGCTTGCTCAATCATCTAAGTGAAAATGGTATCTATATGAAAATTCTTGGAAACATGAACCCACGTAACAAATTCGAAATATCAGACTTTTCCTGCATCCGACACAAACATGTTGTGCGAGAGTTATCTTTCTAGATCCACGGATACCATGGATGCCAATACATTATATCATTTATGAACAGCGGAACTTGCGTTTTCATCGTCATTGAGCACATTTTCTCTGCCGACGTTTCATACTTCATCGGATTACCTAGCGTGGTGGATCTGCAATGGAATCGATGTATATTGGGCAAAAGCATTGGGTTTATGGTTGTCATTTTTTTTATTGCTTATCAAGTTTGGCAAGTCAACAATCTTCTATGCTTCAGCGTTGGGAGTTTCTATTTTCTCAAATGGTTTCTTCAAGCTATTTTGGACTTAATTGCACTTGGAACAACATCCTACAAATGGAAGCAAAGTTGATCTGGTTAGGTATAAAAGTCATCTTCTGTCCAAGAACTGAAGGAAATGATTGTGGCACGGAAACTCCACAATGTAATTCTTGTGCAATTTGCAAGCCAACTTTATATGTGCTTCTGTGCTTCCTAAAGTCCATGAACAGATATAAGATAAAATTTTACGAACTAGCCGAGGTTTTCATGCAATCTTCGCTATAAAATAGAGTTATACTAGTATACATCTTATACGGTTGAGGGAGACCAATTTACTTCAATATAGTGAGAAAATATGGACCCATCGAACATAGCGGTGTTAATCTTTCTTGTTTTTCTCCAATTGATGTTGTGGAGGTGGTAGAATAGTCTAAATTGACACATTAAATTTTGCACGATCAAAGATGTAAATTCTTTTTTCCCTCAGAATATTGTACTGTTTCTCTAGTTCTTTTGGCTGAGCATTGTGGCTTTACTAAATTTTAATAATATAATTGATGACCTGCAATAAATATGTGGAGATTTTGGACCAAAGGTGCTTTAATAGGAGCCTCAAATTACGTAGCTAGCTTCACTGTTCTCTTCACTCAACTGCAATAGATGGATAAACAATCCAATAAATGTAGAGTTGATAAAATATGGTTTATGAGTAATCTAGTGTTGTCTTTCTTAACAAGATAATCATGTATGCTTTTTAACAGATGCAAGCTGGGATGGCAAGCCGAGCATGAAGGCGGCTCCCTTGTTCACAAGTTTATGAGTGATGGGGGAAATAATCCATTCTGTGGTGGATATGGCCCATCCGATGGCAGCTATCGTGACAGGATCAATCTTTGGAACTCTTTGAATGTAGCAAAAATCGTTTCTGTAGTTGTAAATTGAATTCCAATTGCACATATGAAAGAGGATTAACTCAAATATATATGATGAATTGGGGATGAATGTATCTTTGGTGTGAACTCATTATCATCTAGCGAGTAATATCTATTGGCTATGGATGGGCACGATTAAAGGTTGACAGATATGCTCGCCAGCTACACATTAACCGAGCATTTTTGTCAGGAAAGCATTAACTTGTATTGATTCATTTGATATTTTTGGATTTGCGAAATAATTTCTTTCCACAACATGGTGATTGTTGCAATCAGATCTCCCACTATAAATCCACCATATTCCCCTTTCCTTGATTTCACTTCAATCTAACCATCTCTCATCAATCTACAAGTGCATTCTTGCTAGAAAGTAGTGAACTGCGAAGGCCATGGCTCGCAAGAAGGTGAAGCTTCAGCGGATCGTCATTGATGTGAAGCAGCGGGTGACATTCATGAAGAGTCTCAAGGGCTTGACGAAGAAGGTTAGTGAGTTCGCAACACTATTTTTCATGGTGTACGGTGAGGTTGAGGTGCAAGCAACGAAGGTTTGGCCGTCGGTGTGGGAGGTGACCAGAGTTCTCGAGCACTTCAAGGCCATGCCTCATCTGGTCAGATACAAGAAGTTGACAGACCTAGAGGGCATCCTCAACGATCAGGTCGACAAGCTCAAAGAGTAGTTGCACAGGGTGGAACACGAAGCTGATGAAAGCGAGACCAAGCTACTCCTCATTGAAGCCATCAATGGCCACCGCTCGAGCCTCGAGGGTCTCACCATCGAGCAAATTACCAGCCTCGGATGGATGGCAAATGCACGCCTCAAGATTGTCAACGACCGCCTCAAGAAGCTCCGTGAGGAAGGCCTTATACCTGCATCCGTGTCATTGTCGAGCATGGAGGTACCAATCCAGAGGAAGGGATGGCTGGTGGATGTTGTAAGGGGCATTGGCTCAATGGGGTACAATCGGTTCGAAGGTAGCAGCGTAAGCGGCACTGCTGGATCCAATGGTGACATGGCTTAGCCTTTCAACAGTGTTGCAGGATTCTCACAGGCCAATCAGGAATTTTCATTTGCCACCCAAGTAATGCGAGACTCATTATCACTTGCCTGCCTGGAAAATATGGCAAAGGCGGACTTTTTCTGAGATGATATTTTACCAGAGAAAGCATGGTCAACTATCGATTTTGGAGGGTGTCAATCACTCCTTTATTTACATCCCAATATATCATTCCTTTCTATTTTGTATCCCATCATGCCATTTCCCTTTTTAATCATAATTTCGCTTTTCCCTTTTTTAGATCCCTACAAGCTAGTCTTGGTTCATGTATTTGTTGCCTCTTATTACCAGCTTAATGCTTATAAACAATGAAATTCCTATCTAGGAAATGAGCTACTAGAAAAACAAGATCTAAGTGGATAAATTAAAAAAAGAACTATGTTCAACACAAGAAAAATCTTAAGTGCGAGGAAAAGGATTTTTTGTCGATTCAGCCTACAATTCCATATGAAATAGTTGAAGCATGAAACTTAGTAAAACTTTAATTTTCCCACAGAATCTTATGCCAGAAGATGAATCTTTTCCCGTGATATTTGTTGTCCTAACAAGACAGATACGTTTTTCCTATATTTTTTTGCATCGTGCTGGTTTTAGGTGACCAACCACATGTAAGCTATATTTGGAATGCAACCACCCATAATGGACCTGATTAAAGCATTTATGTGGTGCAAGTGCTTCATATTGCCGATACATTTTTGTGTTTTTAATGAAAGAACATACAGTTTGTTGGGACAAAATATTATCTCAGCTAACATGGCAAGTGCTCCCTCCATTGGAGACAAGGAGAGAGCTCAACCTTGATCGAAGACCTGTAGGGACGAGGTGGGAGCTTGAGGAAGGAAAAGGTGGTAGTGTAGAGAGGATGAAAATGGGTTTTCCCCACCTTTTGCCCATTTGGGGGTTTAGACTTTTTTCGAGGTGCTTTGCAGCCATATAGTTTTGGGGAATTTTAGTCATTGCACATGTACATTTGGTGTCATGTTATACAGATTATATAATTCTAAAAATATTACCTAGGAATGAAATAATCCCCCAACACACTTAATCCTTGAATTCCATGCAGCTCGGGCCATATTATATTGATTCCTTCCAATTAGCATTCTCCTTTGTCTTCTCTGTTTTTATTCTTTAAAAAATAGATCTCATATACCAGGCAAAGTTTTTTATTTTCCGGATGTACCATGGATAGTCAATATGCCTTGGTTACTTGTGTTCTATCCTACACATTAATGGTTGGAGATGCTTACATTATGTTGATTCACAACTTATTTCGTGTCAGCTAAGTACCGATACCAATATTAACTGGACATTATCTGGATGTTCTTATAATAACTAAAAAAAATATGGCTGCTAAAATCGTATTATGATGATCGTAAATTGTATTGCAAGTTTGTGTTAAATAAAACATGCAAAATGAAAATAGCATGGACCCTTTAATTTTCATTTACCAAAAATTAATATTTGTAGAATTCAAAGTTAATACTATGATGCCATAATTATCGTCAATTTTTAATTTAGTGTTGTATTAATTTAATTTGGAAAGTAGAATTTAGCAAGTTATGATCCATGGCTTTCTTCAATATCCTTTTTAGGGCAGTTAGTCTCGTATACTGAGGGAAACCGAAGACATGATTGCCCTGTAGCTTGCTCAATCATCTAAGTGAAAATGGTATCTATATGAAAATTCTTGGAAACATGAACCCACGTAACAAGTTCGAAATAGTGGACTTTTTCTGCATCCGACACAAACATGTTGTGCGAGAGTTATCTTTCCAGATCCACGCATACCATGGATGCCAATTCATTATATCATTTATGAACATCGGGACTTGGGTTGCCATCGTCATTGAGCACATCTTTTCTCTGCCGACATTTCATACTTCATCGGATTACCTAGTGTGGTGGATCTGCAATGGAATCGATGTATATTGGGCAAAAGGATTGGGTCTATGGTTGTCATTTTTTTATTGCTTATCAAGTTTGGCAGGTCAACAATCTTCTGTGCTTCAGCGTTGGGAGTTTCCATTTTCTCCAACGGTTTCTTCAAGCTATTTTTGGACTTAATTACACTTGGAACAACATCCTACAAATGGAAGCAAAGTTGATCTGGTTAGGTATAAAAGTCACCTTCTGTCCAAGAACTGATGGAAATGATCGCGGCACGGAAACTCCCAAATGCAATTCTTGTGCAAATTGCAAACCAACTTTATATGTGCTTCTGTGCTTCCTGAAATCCACGAACAGATATAAGATAAAATTTTACGAACTAGCCGAGGATTTCATGCAATCTTCGCTGTAAAGAAGTGTTATACTAGTATACTTCTTATACGGTTCAGGCAGACCAATTTACTGCAATATAGTGAGAAAATCTGTACCCATCGAACGTAGCGGTGTTAATCTTTCTTGTGTTTCTCCAATTGATGTTGTGGAGGTGGTAGAATAGTATATATTGACATAATCTAAATTCTGCACGATCAAAGATGTAAATTCTTTTTTTCCCTCAGAATATTGTACTTTTTCTCTAGTTCTTTTGGCTGAGCATTGTTGCTTTACTAAATTTTAATAATATAATTGATGACCTGCAATAAATATGTGGAGATTTTGGACCAAAGGGGCTTTAATAGGAGCCTCAAATTATGTAGCTAGCTTCACTGTTTTCTCCACTCAACTGCAATAGATGGATAAACAATCCAATAAATGTAGAGTTGATAAAAATATGGTTTACGAGAAATCTAGTGTTCTCTTTCTTAACAAGGTAACCATGTATGCTTTTTAACAGATGCAAGCTGGGATGGCGAGCCGAGCATGAAGGCGGCTCCCTTGTTAACAAGTTTATGAGTGATGGGGGAAATCGTCCATTCTGTGGATATGGCCCATCCGATGGCAGTTATCGTGACAGGATCAATCCTTGGAACCCTTTGAATGTAGCAAAAATCGTTTCTGTAGTTGTAAATTGAATTCCAATTTCGCATATCAAAGAGGATTAACTCAAACAAATATAATGAACTGGGCATGAATGTATCTTTGGTGTGAACTCATTATCATCTAGCGAGTAATATCTATTGGCTATTGACGGGCACGATTAATGGTTGACAGATATGCTTGCCAGCTACACATTAACCGAGCATTTTTGTCAAGAAAGCATTAACTTACATTGATTCATTTGATATTTTTGGATTTGTGAAATAATTTCTTTCGACAACATGGCGATTGTTTCAATCTGAACTCCCAGTAAAAATCCACCATATTCCCCTTTCCTTGATTTCACATCAATCTAACCATCTCTCATCAATCTACAGGTGCATTCTTGCTAGAAAGTAGTGAACTGCGAAGGCCATGGCTTGCAAGAGGGTGAAGCTTCAGCGGATCGTCATTGATGTGAAGCAGCGGGTGACATTCATGAAGAGTCTCAAGGGCTTGACGAAGAAGGTTAGTGAGTTCGCAACACTATTTTTCATGGTGTACGGTGAGGTTGAGGTGCAAGCAACGAAGGTTTGGCCGTCGGTGTGGGAGGCGACCAGAGTTCTCGAGCACTTCAAGGCCATGCCTCATCTGGTCAGATACAAGAAGTTGACAGACCTAGAGGGCATCCTCAACGAGCAGGTTGACAAGCTCAAAGAGCAGTTGCACAAGGTGGAACACGATGCTGATGAAAGCGAGACCAAGCTACTCCTCATTGAAGCCATCAATGGCCACCGCCCGAGCCTCGAGGGTCTCACCATCGAGCAAATTACCAGCCTCGGATGGATGGCAAATGCACGTCTCAAGATTGTCAACGACCGCCTCAAGAAGCTCCATGAGGAAGGCCTCATACCTGCATCCGTGTCATTGTCGAGCACGGAGGTACCAATCCAGAGGGAGGGATGGCTTGTGGATGTTGCAAGTGGCATTAGCTCAATAGGGTACAATCGGTTTGGAGGTAGCAGTGGAAGCGGCAGTGCTGGATCCAATGGTGACATGGCTTAGCCTTTCAGCAGTGTTGTAGGATTCTCACAGGGCAATCAGGAATTTTCATTTGCCACGCAAGTAATGCGATACTCATTATCACTTGCCTACCTAGACAACATGGCAAAGGTGGACTTTTTCTTAGATGATATTTTGCCAGAGAAAGCATGGTCAACTATCGATTTTGGAGGGTGTCAATCACTCCTTTATTTACATACCAATATATCATTCTTTTCTATTTTGTATCCCATCATCCCATTTCCTTTTTTAATCAAAATATCACTTTTCCGTTTTTTAGATCCCTACAAGCTAGTCTTGGTTCATGTATTTGTTGCATCTGATTACCAGCTTAATGCTTATAAACTATGAAATTCCTATCTAGAAAATGAGCTACTAGAAAAACAAGATCTGAGTGGATAAATTAAAAAAAGATCTATGTTCAACACAAGAAAAATCTTAAGTGCAAGGAAAATGATTTTTTTTTGTCGATTCAGCCTACAATACCATATGAAATAATTGAAGCATGAAACTTAGTAAAACTTTAATTTTCCCACAGTACCTCATGCCAGAAGATGAATCTTTTCCCATGATATTTGTTGTCCTAACGAGGCATACACGTTTTCCCTATCTTTCTTTGCATCATGCTGGTTTCAGGTGACCAACCACTTGTACACTATATTTGGAATGCAACCACACACAACGGACCTGATTAAATCATTTATGTGGTACAAGTGCTTCATATTGCCGATACATTTTTGTGTTTGTAATGAAAGAACATACAGTTTGTTGGACAAAATATTATCTCAGCGAACATGGCAAGTGCTCCCTCCATTGGAGACAAGGAAAGAGCTCAACCTTGAAGACCTGTAGGGAGGAGGCGGGAGCTTGAGGAAGGAAGAGGATGAGAATGGGTCCGCACCACCTTTTGCCTACTTGGGAGTTTAGGCTATGAATTTTCCATTAGTTGACCGTTAAATTCTTATGAAAAGACCCATTTTGCCCTTTGCTATGAAGAAGCATATAAATTAATAGAGTGTACCGTCAGAGCGTAAAAATTTGTTAGATGGAACTATTATATTTATGAGTTAGTTATGCACCATATTATTTGCGATAAATATACATTTAGATATGACATAAAAAATAATACTTAATTATTACTTATTGAAAGTTGTTTATGTTGCATATAAATATATTTGTCTTATACAACAATCTATTGTATTACTATCAAAACACATATAGTCGGATTCCAGCTATATTCGGTTAAGGAAATTAATCGATTAAAGGAAGCTTATCCAGAAGTGACCGTGTTTAAGGAGGATGCGCCATGGCAAGTTATCTATTAATTAGGAATAGTTTGTTAGTTTCCTTTTATCTTTAGGAAAGTATGTTTAGTGTCCTATAAGGACTTTATGTTTTCTTTTATCTTTAGGAAAGTCTCTTTCTTATCCTACAAGGACTAGTATCTACCCATGGGTATAAATATGTACACCCGGGGTCATTGTAATATCTCCACGATCAATACAATTCGGCGGATCGCCACCTTTTACCTCTTCTACTTTATTTTATTTATCACGGCGGAACTTGACACCTGATACGGGGCTACATCGCTTTTCGATCTCCGGCGAAAGGGTAAGTCCAATGTTCTACCGGCCTAGGCAATTGTATTGGCTACATTGGCGTTGTTCAAGGCTGCATCAGTACTTCTTGGATTGCTATGGTTGGTTGATATATTTGCCTGGCTATTTATCATATGTCTTAGTTAATCTAGTCTTAGTATCTCAATTTAGCTCTATCGGTTGTCTCTCGCTTTAGGGTTTCTACCAGTATTGGCTAAATTGTTTTACTATATTAGATTAGCTGAGGCTTCTACCACCCGAAAAATCAATCATCGGCTTGATTGTCTAGATATTGTGTTTCTTTTCATACTTAGTGCTGCATCAGCTAAGTTTGATCTACTAAGTCGTGTTTAGAACCATAATCTCTAGCCTGCTTTTGGACTGCCAATAAGGGTTTCATCGGGGTTTCAACCGATGAGGTATCTGGATGTTGCATTGGTTTACAAGGATTGCATATAAGTTGGATTTAGACGATGATAACAAAGATTTCACTGTTTAATCTAATCTTCTGGATTTTATGACATCGGATCTCTAGCCGATGTATTCTTCAACCTTCAGATCAGTGCTTATTTTATCATATCATTGTTAGCCGATTGGTTTCTATTAGATTATATTATTGTTATTTACTATTATCAGCCGATTGTCTCAAGTATCAGAATCTAAATTGGATATATAACCGATAGCTCCAAACCCTCTCATATCGGCTGGTATCGGCATCGACTGGAACTACTCCATCGGCTCGTCAGCCGATAGGCTCATTGACATGCTATTTGTATATCTTGTCAGTTGCAGGATAAACTTGACTGGCACGCCTGCATTTCACCAACCTTTGAACCTACGCTAGAGCTAAGTAGATCTCCTAGACCGTTATGTTCGTCGACTTAGTTCGCGCCAACACAGACCTGGCACCACTGGCCGAGCACGGATTTTTCGTCAACAATATGCTACATAAAAAAACTTTTAATAACTAATAAATAAATATTAACTTTTTATACCATATCTAAAACTAAATTTGTCGCAGTTAATATGGTGCATAACAAACTCATAAATATAATAGTCTCATCCAACAAATTTCTACATCCAACAATGTACTCCATTAATTTATTATGTTTCTTCATAGCAAAGGGAATAAATTGACTTTTTCATAATAATTTAGCAGTCAACTAGGGAAAAGGGCGTGGAAGCGATCCAAACTAAAATTCAGGGGTATGTAAGAGAATGAGCAAAATTCAGAAGCAAAGAAGGGATTATGTGAACTTTGATGGGTACATAGGGAATTTTCTCTATGAGGAATGTCCTCGTCATATCATTTTTTACCAGGAGTTGGTAAGAGAGGCCCCACAGCCCTTAGCATCATCATATATCCATGGCTACATAATTAATCCAATAAAAGTTTTTATTTTGGTACAAGAGTTTGTCCATGTTCCTAGGGAACTTATGACGAGAAGGACACTAAGTTGTGCCACATCAGCACTAGGATGGCCAGATTAGCATTCCCTTTTTTTCTCTCCCCGCCAAGAACAACGCGCCTTGAAAATCAAATTCACTGCTCAGTAGTTTTTGGGCCCATCTAATCTACATCTTCCCCTTCTTCTTCGATGGTTGGCCAGTGCTTGCCCTCTCCTAACTACCAAGCATCAACCAGGCTCGAGCTCTGTACACCAGCTACCAGTGAGCGTTCTGTTGACGTAGAATCGTGCTGCCGCCACACACGTTATGTGCAACCCATGGCGCGGCACCCAGAGACGCGCCGCTATAGGGCGCGGATAGATGTCGCCGAACGAGCACTCAGAGAGACCCTGTCGGGGTGAACACACGCCGGTTTGTCCTAGACTCAACAGGCCAGCTAGGATGTCAGGTTTAAGGAGAATATACTTGGGATAGGTAGCAAGAAGAAGGGAGATAGAAAATATAGAAGGTTTGGATATTAAATTGATTTTAACGATTGATTTGGTTTTGTTTCAATCGGCCTTAGCTCACTTATATCTATAGGAGGGTTAAAATTGCTTCCCATGATCTTTCTCACATTCAATTAGCTGTAGAAACCAACTAGAACTCTAAAATATCAAGCCTTAGCAAGAAAACCCAAGAACTGATAAATCAAACTTGTAGTCGGACTCTACCAATCTAACCGATCACATGCTGCCGGTCAGACCGGCCCCTACCATCGGTCTGACCGGCCTCGTATGACAAGTCTAGGTTCGTTTTAAATGTAGCAAAAGTTTTCAATTTTATATTCTAGAGCCAAATTTGAGTATTAACACGTCCAAGTGCTGCAAATCCAGCTATAGCTGCCGTCGGTGCCGCAACACCCCTTTCTCCACTCAATCATTTGTCCAGATCCATGTTACTTGGTTCTTTAGTTCATCCGATCCACTCTCTTTCTTTTCTTAGCTTGTGTCCCAAGGGCAAGCTCCGGCAGCTAGCGAACGGCAAATGGTCGCATCCCCTACACCTCCAATGTACGCGCCACAGCCAGCAGGTTGTCTGGTAATTTTGATGCCGAACAACACATGGTTGTACATATTTGAACTTAGCTCGTACTGTTCTTTTAGCCAAACAATTTCATGCTAATTTCAAATTCTTTCATTTGTGCTCATTCACGAATTTATCTTGACTCATAATTGCTATTTGGGTCTGATTTTGAAGGGAAATCGGCAGGAAGCATCCGAGAACAACTCACTGCACTTCCTCCATTATTGCAGCAAGCTACTATTCAGTGGTTTAAGTCCTCAAGAAATTGTGCTATTTGTTTTTTTCAATTTTGTTTCGTTCCGTGGAATGATAGCCTCAATTTTGTAGCATATTTTGAAAGTTTGAGCGTGCTTGTAAGAAGAAATGTTAGCCCAATTTAATTTCCAGCTTTGTTGCTGTACTACAAAAGCATGTAAATTGAAGATTCAGTTCAACTTAAGTTTTTTCCGTTCATAACAAAAGGAACATTGTTGTTAGTTGATCAATTTTTTCCCTTGAACATTGAGGTAAGTGATGATAATACAATATGTACTATAACAAATTAAAATAATGAAACATTCCATTTTGTAGCTGAAAACCTTAGGGAAATATACTTTACACTTAGGATGAACTTGCGACATGTACAACTATCTGTAGAATTTCGAACTCTAGGGAACAAATATCTTCCCCAAGGTATTCATGAAAAACTCTAGGGAAGTTTGCATTTCCCGTAGAATTGACCCTAGGAGCGTCTTCTCAAGCGGTTTGTTGGTATTTCTTGCGATAACAGATAAAATTTGCAAGCGCACGGATATAACGATGTTGCACTTCACTCAGGAGTATTTCAAGGTATCGATTTCCACAGGTAATATTTGTGTTCAACTCTTCTCTATTGTCATCCAAGTAGACAAGGCAGATGTAGGCAAAGAATAGACATGATTTCCTAATGAGAGACAATGTTTACGGAAAGCTTAATTTTAATCCTATCGCAATACTTTAGGCACTGGTGTGCTCGCTACTACCAGAACGCACTCTATCTCGTACCCAGACAGGAAGGACTGCGGTGATCTCGAGGGCTGTCACTACCACTACACTAACCTCTAACTATCTATGGGATATGAAGCAATCACTGAAAATTAACTACCTAGACACCGCGTCTACGAAATTGATTGCTACTTTAGTGTTTATAACTCACCAAAGTAATCACTATGTAATAATAGACAGTAGTGAACAGTGATCCAATATGCTAATAAGAACTAACCAAGAAAAATTCTCACTATAGATATCTTAATTACTCAAAAGATAACTCTATTAAAGGAGAGTAATTATCAAGGTATAAAAAGTAAGAGGAGATTATCGACAACTCCGTAATTCCTCTGAATTCTTCTACCTTACTCTCTTCCTAATCTTATGTACATAAAAGTACAAAAGAGCCTCTTATAATTCAACTCTTGCTTCAGTGTGTGAGAGTGAGGAATGGGAGCTCCTTTTATGGCCTACCAATGACGGTTATGGCAGATGGAAAAATCGAAAACGCCCTCCAACTGTCATTGGGATTTGATCCTAGACGTACACGTGGAAGGCCAGGATGGACGGCCTCAGCCATGGTTCGGCTGAAATTGGGCAGGCCCATCTAGACCACAAATTTGCTCTAGGCCTCTACTATGTTCTCCCTTATCCACTTCTAAACTGATTGGGTCCATTTTCTGGTGTTTTGATGAGATTGTGAGCCCAATTCTTCTTTAGATGGAATTCTCCTCCACTTTAGTTTAGATTTCCTCCTAATATTGGCGGTTTATTACCTGCATTCAAATATACATCAACACTCGTGGAATATATCAGCATTAAACCCTACCACTATGTTGGATGTTTTATAATTTATGTTTTATGCAGGTATTAGTGGCATAAAATTGGCATTTAACAGTCGCCAATAGGGTTAATAAAGGGGAACATGTTCCCTAGAGTTATCTTGGTAATCCCTAGTGTATTTGGCCCTAGAGAAGCTATTGAATTCACCATGTATGAGGAATGTCCTCTTCATATCAATTTCTTTACTAGAAGTTAGTAAGGGAAGCCCCACAGCCCCCACCATCATCATATATCCATGGGTACACAATTAATCCAATAAAGTCGACTTGGGTAAACAATCCAATATCAATAAAGTTGATTAAAGTGTAAATTGCATTGGTGATACACAAACTTATCAGATGGGTGCAATATAATGCACGAATTTAAAACGCTTGTTTTGAAACACAAACTTGTCTACATGCTTAATCTTATTGATTTAGGTGCCAACTAGCATATTACCTAAATATATATCTCAGAAGATTGCTAGAAAGTTTTGTTTCAAATGGTAGTGGATGAATGCGTCCATTACAGTGGATCAAGGCCGGCCCTGGAGGGGGGCGAGAGGTGCGGCTGCCCTGGGCACCCAGATCGTAGGGCTCCACCTCCCGTCCCCCTTCCCCGACCAATCCAACCGTAGGCCGGCGTTGCCTCGGCCCCTCGGCCTCGTGCAGAGAAAGCGAACCGAAAGAGATAAGATCAGAAGACGCGATCGAGTAGCGAGATGGCTGCGGCGCCGCCCACACCCTAACCCCTCGTGCGAGTCACGATATCGCGCCATCGCCGTCCGCCGACACAAGCCCGCAGGCCGCGCTTGCCGCCTACCGGATTGCTTTGCTGCCATCTGCCGAGGAGAACGATTAGTAATTCAGGAATCAGGACTCAGCGGTATGTTTTGTGTTCAGGTGAGTGAGTCAATTTCCCAAATCCCAAATTCCCAATTGCCATCGCTAAGTACATGTGAAAAATTGATTTAGTTGCAGTTGTTCCCGTAGGATTGGATGCTAGATTAATTATTTAATTAATTCAGTTGATGTTGTTCCTAGAGTTGGACGAATCAACGAAGGCCATGGCTGCACTATTTTCCCGACTTAGATTTATAATTTTGCAGTGTAATATGAGTTAAATGACTACAATAATGTTATTTTTTTTATAATTATCAGGACATGTCGTCGAGGAAGTAGCGAGAAAAGGAAAAAAAAGAGAAATGGTTAAATGGTTTGGCAACTTTATGCATTGAGAAGAAATTATTGGATGAAATTGATATTGGTACAATTATCAATGACTTCACAGCTAGAAATGTCAGAAGAAATTTTCGAGGTAACATGTTCAATGTTTCCTATATAAAATTTATGAATGCAATTTAAATATTTATGATAATAATTTAGTATATGTATCTATTATTATTATTATTATATCGTATAATAAGGGCCTCTATATTTTGTTTCGCACCGGGGCATGACTTTAGTTTCGCCCCGGCGCCTGAAAAGTCAGGACCGGCCCTGGCCCTGTAGTGGATGTGTAAAATTTTGCTGGGCGCATCTTGTATATCCACACTGTTTCTGTTAACGTGTAAAAGATGAATGTTACTCCGTGAACCAGACTTTTGATATAGAATATATTAATATACTATACGTGCAGGTTCTGCAGACTGTTTATGATGTACTCCATACCCCCTCTAACAAATAGAATTTCAATATATAGAGGCTATTTACAATTGAAATGAGGCTATGGCTGAGCAAATCGAAGAGAAACTATAACAGAACATAGCATTCTGTAATCTAAGGACATACTGAGTTTCTCATATACTTGGATTGTCAAAGTCGAAGAATTGCTTGATGTTAATAAACATCAGGTTATTGTCCTGAAGCACCATAAGCTTCCTATGGGTGTGTTCGCTAATTCCGGTTCGGTACACTTGTCCCACGCACGGAAAACAGAACAGTCCATTAAGGTGGGATTATTTAAGTATTAGCAATCTATTTTTTTCAAAAATAGATTAATTTGATTTTTTAAAGCAACTTTCATATAGAAATTATTTTTTAAAAAACGCATTGTTTAGCAGTTTGAAAAATGTGCGCGCGGAAAACGAGATATGTAGTTGGGAACCTGGGAGAAAGAACTCAGCTATAATATCCAGAAATCAACATCTGATTCTCACATGTTATGGATTAGCTGCTTAATTCTTAGCCAGATCCTGTACATGAGACCCAGCCTAGCTAATTATGCACGAATACATTCATATGCATCATTACGACTATACACATTGGTCTATGAATATGTCTAATTCCATTTCGTCAAAAGAAAACAGGTCCCAAATACATTGTTCATGATGTCTGGAATTGGAAAGCTGCAGCTAATTACGCAATGCATGTGACACTAGAATTCCCCATACTTCCCATGCCTAAACTCAAACTAGAATCAACATGAATTTATCGAACTTTCAATACTTATAGGAAGTTAAGAGATTAATCCAATGAAATCTTCACACACTCTTGTTATATATAGGGAAAATTGCAAAAACCACCTCATAAATCACTTGAAGTTTGACATTCCATCCCATAAGTTATTTTGTTGCAAATACCCATCCCTACTTAGTTTTGTTCCAAAAACCACCCTAATGAGGACACATACTTAATCAAATCAGTTTGTTATCGCTGATGTACGGTTATCACAAGCTAAGCATATTGTCCAAGTGTTTGCATTAGGCTTATTTTCCATATTTGATTGAACTTTTTTTTTCATATAGCGAAACTCAGTGCGACAACGTTTAAGCTCTCGTGTGCAATTTTATTTATGGAATCTCATCAAAAAAAAGAATACTCTGGAAGTATTTACTTTTGGTAAAGACCACATTAACGGCTCACACTTTATGAAATGACAACACTACACGTCCTCTCCCCTCTCAGCTCTAACTCACCACTCTCTCCTCTACCCATCCATTTTTTATTGCGAGAAATAATCAATAATATTAAAACATGCATATTTTTAAGCTACACATTTGATTTTTAATCTAACTATTGCTCTATCCATAACCCCTATATTTTGAATTGGCATAAAATAAAATTTACAATTTAAAATATCAATAGGGACTAAATTGAACTATTTGGAGAAAATCAAATAAGTTTGAACTTTTCACTAAAATTGATCCAACCATTACATGTTCCATTTTTATAACAATTATTAAATGCTTAAATATTAGTGGTCTTGCATCTATCCAATACCATATTATAATGAGTTTGTCTGCATATTAAGCCACACTAAGGTATAAGTATATAGTAGGTTATATTTGTTACTATTATATTTAAATTTTTTGACTCATGTCGACTATATTTAGCTTTAGAAATGATACTATAGATCACACATATTAAAAGGAAGTGAGGTTCTAAGATATGTTTTTGTTAATTTATATGTAAGTATGTAAAACATGCATATTGAACCAACTAAAAAGATGACTAACTTCATGGTACAAATAAAGCATGTTTACTAACAATAATAGTTCTTTTAGGATTTGTTAAAAAAAGACCACTAAACAATCAATTAAACAAGACAAAACATTTAACTTTTAATTTATGTTTATTTTGTTAGGCACGTTTTCCAAACAAATTAAATAGATACTTTTGAAACATGGCAAGTGTTTATACGGATCATACATAATTGTTTATACCGATGGATTAAATATTATATATTTTAAAAGCTAACAAACAGCATGAAAAAAATATCTAAGCAATGTTGATGAAGAAAAATTACGGAGAAATAGTACATTTGAAACATGGCAGTTGTCATCCGGTTGATATTCCGCCTATATAAACTTTTCAAATGCAATCTAAATACATGCCCACGCAATATAAGTTTTTCAAACATGGCAATATAAGTTTTTCGAAGTAGTACTTTTGAAAAATATGGCAGGTGTCATCCGGTTGATATTCCACCTATATAAGTTTTTCAAACGCAATCTAAAATACATGGCCGCGCAAGGCGCGGGCTACCTTCCTAGTTTTTGATAAAAAAAGGACAGAATGAAAATACACCAAGGAATCATAACACACATACATCCGGCCCAGCCTGCAGTTTGGCTTAAGGTCTGAACTGCCACCTTGCTCAACATTCCCTTCATCGTCTTCCCATTGATGCCTAAAGCCCTGCTGATGCAACGCCATTGCGCCATGATGCCTCGTCTGCAGAATCAGTTTGACAAATTGATTAACAAACATGACCAGAGTTAGCAGTGAGTCTCATTTACAGGGAGCAGAAGGCAGCAAAGGGACTTCGAGTCTTAATTAGTGTCTTACCTTGAGAGCTATGGATATCATAGGATTATTTTTTCGAGAATGTGCTGGATCTTTTCCCAATTTTCTCCATTCTGTTTGCAAGACCTTGTGAACTCGTGCCCGCAGTTTGAGAGTTTAAAACGCGAAAGAGACTGCGGCAGTGTTGGCAGCACCTTCATATTCTTGCAGTGGGAGATCATCAGAACTTTGAGAGTCCTGACTTGCTCCATGTTATCTGGCAAGGTGTGCCAGCTTAAGTGAGAGAGACAGAGCGATTCCAGATGAACGAAGCACTCAAAAAGTCTAGGAGCAGGTCCCAGTGGGCTGCATTGGCGGAGCTCAAGTTTCTGAAGGTACAGTTGACCACTATGCTTACCCACCATCCAGCCAGGGTATGAACCACGGTAGCCTATGATTTCCAGGACTTGAAGCCCCATTGGCGGGCATAGACACTCGAGTACTGCTGGATCGTGGTTACTGCTTGTGTTATCATCGTCCCAGGCCAGTGTCAGTTGTTTGAGGTGCTCCTTCTCAGCTAACTTCGCTTCAACGGCTTCCTCCTCGCTGCGAACATGTTGGAGACCACTGATCACCAATTTTCCCTGGAGCTTGTTTAGGTGCTTCAGCTGCTTAATGTCGTAACCCAGGAGGTCCCTTTTCACCCTGAAGGTTGGTAATGTTCGGAGCAATGTCAGCCTGCCTATGTTTGGAAAATCCCCAAGTGAACGGCCTACCACTCTCTGCAAGTTCACAAGGTTACTCATATTTTCAGGGGAGCAACTACGTTCCAACATTCCATATTCACCAAAATCAAGCACCCGCAAGTGGTAAAGCTTTGTAACCGTGCGCGGAAAAAATATACGGCATCTATACTCGATAGAAAGATATCGTAGATACTTTAAGTAACCAATAGATTCTGGGATTTGCAATATTCTTCTACTCTGTGTCTCTACAATCAGTACTCGTAGAGACTTCAAGCTGTCGAAGATATCATCGAACACCTTTGCCTCAATTCCTGTCTCCCCTCCGTCAATGATCAGAGTGCGCAGCTCCTTCAGTTTGACAATATTTTCGGTAATCATTTTCTCGAAAGCTTTATTGCCAGCAACTGTTGCTCCATTACAAGCCTTAATATACAAATGGCGAACATCGTCTCGAGGAACTTGTCCTGTGCAGCCACCCTCAATTCTGCAGCAATCACTACGTCCGACCGTCTCTGCTAAATCCTGCAGCAGATCATGAAGTAAATAGTACTCCTCGCCCGACGAGTCCTTTCGTTCGAGCTGCAGAAACGAGGTCGCCACTAATTTGTGGAAGTAATCTCCTCCAACTTCCTCTCTGCTTATGAACCCTTCTGCTGCCCACAAGTTAATTAACTTACTGCGTCCCAAATGATGCCCTCTGGGAAAAATACTGCAGTAAGCAAAGCATCGTCTAACTTTCTCATCAAGAAGCTGGTAGCTCCACCGCAGAGCTTCCATTGCGTCACTGAAAAAATCCTTATCTCGTACACTCCTCCAAAACTCAACATCTTGCCTTATACGCAATTGTCCTCCCACTGTTCTTGCTGCCAGAGGTGATCCCTTCAGTTTCTTTGCAATGTCAGCCCCAATCATCTGCAGTACTATTCGATCTCGCTCACATATCTCTGCACCGTCAAGTGCATATTGCAAGAACAATTCTCGGAAGACATGCTCATCTAACTTAGATATTGGAATGCATTTCGATCTCACAGCACCCAAAGCCAATAAAGCATCTCTAGTTCGACTGGTTGCTAGAATCTTGCTTCCTGCTCCCCCAACTTCCAATGCAGAAAGATCATCCTCGCTTATATCCTTATTATGCTCGACATCATCTAGTACCAACAGGAAACGCTTTTCGCACAGGTCTTGTTTCAATCTTTTCTGTAAAGCAGTAAGACTTTTGAACTGAGGGCATGGTTGCTTTGTAGCCTGTTCAATCATCTCCCTCAAGATGGTGTCCAGGCCAAAATTCTGGGAGACATGAATCCACATCACAATGTCGAAGTGGTTGGCTTCCTCCTCGTACTCGCAAACATACTGTGCAAGAGTTGTCTTCCCAGACCCAGGGATGCCGTGAATGCCAATAACGGAAAAACATCTATCAGCACTTGACTGGTTTTCATCACGAAGCATACTTATTATTTCCTCACGATCCTTGTCTCGACCGATTACCTTGCGTGGCAGATATGCAGCGGTGGGCTTCGATGTATGTTTGGCAGTGACACCAACGTATCGTCTATGATCGCCACTTTCATTATTATTGCCTGGCAGGTTAGCTAACTTAATAATGTCCTGTGCTTTCTCAATTAGTTTCTCTATCTTATCTAGTTTATCCTTCAAACGGCATCTTGAATATCCTGCCGTTAACTTGGTACCATCAGCCTACAAATCCAAGTAAACACTGAGCTAGTTGGAGAACAGTGAATTAATAAGTAGTCTGAATTGATCTGAACTATGTAAGAGACGCTGCGCAATTGTACATACAGATTTGCAAATTATCCAAATTTCCAACACAATTCCTAGCTAAAAAAAATGAGCTGACTTTTGTATATGTTTGGTGTCCTATTGCTGAAAAATAGATTTTACACGTTATGTAACAAGAATATCATATTAACATATATATTCTCTCAGGTTTTATTTTAATTGACGTTTTGGACAATGACACGGTCTACAAAATATATCTTTGACATTTTTTTCTATTATAATATACTCCCTCCATCTATTTTTTATAGTCATTCCAAATCTGAAAAAATTTATTTTTGATAGGCATATTTCAATCCAACAACCTATCATCTTAACGAATTTCTCAGATTTAATGCGTGACTCTCCATTCTTCCACACAAGATTGGCTACATGGACATCGAGAAATGTAAATATTAATGAATCGTTTGTTTACGAGGAATAACTATTAGAATGTTTAAATGGATGATAAGTAGAATTACTTATCTTTGGTCCGTGTGCCAAGATGAATTATGACTATCAAAAGTAGATGGAGGGAGTATATAATAAATAAATATATGTTTACTTTATTATAGTGTTTTGAAAGACAAATATCTTTCTAGTTCCTTTAAACTAAACTAGCACGACGGCCCGCACAAATTGCGCGGCTAGCTACCAATATTCTTTTTTTATAATTTTGAATTTTTATTATTTCTAAATTATATTTTTATATAGACTCTAAATTATTTTTCCAATATTTCTTTTTAAAAATTTTAAATTTCAATTATAAATTTATTTCTATATGGACTTCTAATTTTTATTTTTTCAATTTCAAATTTTAGTTAGTTCTAAATTATATAATGGTGTGGGCTCTAATACTTTCTTTCAATATTTATTATTTTTAATTCTGAATTCCAGCTATTTAAAATTGTATTTCTATATGGACTCTATTATTCTTTTTAATCCAAGTTTTTGATATTTCTAAATTTTATTTCAACATAGACTCTTCTTAAAATTTTCTTCATTTTTTATTCCAAATTTTAGATATATATTAAATTATATTTATATTTATAAATAGTTTTATTTTCATCTAGGTAGTTGAAGAGAATTCTTTATTCTGAATTTCAGATATATTGAAATATATTTCCATTTGAACTCTATTTTTTTCTATTTAATATGGAAATTTGTAGAAAGTGGAAGCGAATATGGTGGCCTTTTTATGTTAGACTAAGATATACTATTATAGACATATAAATGCATAGAGTGTGCAGGTATGACCGTATGAACCTGCCATTAGAGATTTGATTTGTTGCAACGGGGAGAATAGATCGAGATAAGCACTTGTGATTTGTATTATACACGGTTACTGTAGCCCAGCTTAGGTTTTTTTTTCCTTGGAAAAGACTTCCAAGACTAATCATTCTATGCAGCTGTCCGATCGGACACTTTTTTTTTTCTAAAAAAAGTTCTTATATACAATAAATTTTCCTTATATATTTTTTATTCTGCTTATTTCTATATTGACTCTAATCTCTACTTTTAGTTTTCTTATTTTTTTTAATTCCAAATTTTTATTAGTTCTATTGTCTACCGGTATGGACTATATTCTTATCTTCCTATATTCCATATTTTTAATCCGAATTTCAGCTATTTTTAAATTGTATATTCCTATATGGACTCTATTTTTTCTTTTTCTCCGATTAATATGAGAATTTCTAGGCCATGAAAGCGAACGTGGATGTTTTTTTTCTATTCCTTTAATAAGTTAATAGATATTTTTAAAGTTATTGATGGTCAAAGTTATAAAAGTTTGACCTCCAAAACTTTAATAATTATGACACCGGAGGGAGTACACCGTTTCACCCAAATATTATATATCTTTTTTTACTACACGACAAAAGCACATGAACAAACACAACAACACGCACATCCATTATTTGACTTGAATTATTACGGCTATATTATAAGCCAGAAATAAATAATAATTATTACGGCTATATTATAAGCCAGAAATTTAATATTTATATGATGAAGACTTGAATTCTTACAGAAATATTGTTTGTATCTTTAGCTTTCTTCTAGTTATTTTGTATTGTACTAAGACTGTGTTCGGCAACTTGAGTGCAGAGCTCATTAATACCTATCGCACGTAAAACGGAACAACTCATTAGCACATAATTAATTAAATATTAAATATTTGCTTGGAAAAATGGATTAATATAATTTTTTAAAGTAACTTTTGTATACAAATTAAATATTAACTATTTGCTTAGGAAAGTGGATTAATATGATTTTTTATAGTAGCTTTCGTATACAAATTCTATTAACAGTACAGGAAGCGTGCAAAAAAAACGAGGTGGAGTTGAAAATTCACACCACCAAACACACACAGAGTTGGCATGACTTTTGTTTAAGGAAAGAAAATACGTTTGTCTTTCAGCGATGTTGATCTGATTTCTGATTCTCAACTACCAGATTGCTCATTATGGTTTCGTTCCATGCCAGGCAGGGTTTAATCCTCTTTCAAAAATAAAAATAAAAAAACTCAATCCGTAAAAAGACGAACAACCAAGTACTGTGCTCTCTTTGTGTGTGTGTTTTTCTTTTTAATCAAGTACTCCCTCCATACTTATAAAAAAAGTCGTTTAGAACAATGTTTAAGTCAAACCTTAGGAATATAAATCATTAATAACTCTCAACTTTGAAAATGTAAAACTTATATGAATAGATTTGTCTTCAAAAATACTTTCATAAAAGTATATATATATATATATCACTTTTCAATAAATATTTTTATAGAAAATAAAGAGTCAAAGTTGTGTTTTGAAGACCGTGTCGCTGTTCTAAACGACTTTCTTTACGAGTACGCAGGGAGTATATGCTCTTGAACTGATGGAAACAGAGATTAGGAGAACCGACCTGGTACGAGGACCCAACATCATTAAAATCCAAGGGGAACTTGCGTTTCTTGGAGCGGGCTAGTTGTTTCTCCAGACGACAGTACTCCGCATCATCCAGGATGTCTTCCACCTGATAGAAAGCCGACTTGAGCTCCTTCACCAGTTTCTCCAGCTCATGCCTCTGGCTGATCTCCAGTGCTCCCAGAGTGAGCGCCAGCCGAGGGAGAGTGCAGGTCTCCAGGTCGCGGATCTTCTTCGGCACGTTCAAGGTTATGCGGGGGCAGACGCTGTTCACGAGCTTGGCGACGATGGGGGAGATGATCCACCCTGCGGTGGATATGGCCCATCCCACTGCAGCTACCGACACCGGATCCATCACTCAACTCTTCGTGTGTCTAGCAAAAATGGGGAGAAATATTTGGAGACAGGCTATGGATCGAGCAAGCTCTCGGTAGATCTTGCAATTGGGTAGGTGATCGATGCTACCTATATATTTTGAGGACAAACACAGTACTTTCAGATCTCAAGAAGGTTAGGCTAAATAAAACTCTAGACAGTACAGGAACCCAGGAATCTTGAAGCATATATCCGGTATCCCTCGTGACTGTCATGTGAGTCAGCAGGAAAGAAATATATGCAAAATGCATACGGTCAAAGCAGGGGTACAATAATTCATTTATATAAGAAATTCTATATGGAAAACAAAACGACAGGTCAATGCTCCAATCAGTGAGTTTCTTCCAACTCATTTGCGTTGCTACAATCGACATAATAATGCATCCCTATGATATAACGTCATGGATAAAAACCCTTCTCTACTCCATAATAAGAGGATTTTTACCATCTTTGAGGAGGTATCAATAGGTACTAGGTACCAAATGGTACCATTCAAATCTAACCGTCAATTCAAAAAGGATAGGATTAGAATGGGTAATTACCGGTCCTACATGCAACTGCATCGTCTTAATCGATCTCTCCACGCTGCTGCCGCCGCACGCCCATTCTCTGGCGCTGCGCCGCGCCGCATGCCTCGGGACCGGAGGCTGTGATCCTGTGCCTCCATGCCACAAGATCCCGGGCCTACCACCAATGGAGCTGTCTGTTATATTTTCTTCGACGTTGGTGCTATGCAGACCAACCATGATGGATGTTAGATATATGGGCACAAGCTATGGAAGCTAAGACTCAGTAGTTGCTGCCAACAGCTATAGGACTTATATTGTCATCGTGGGGGAATCAAGGAAGAAATTGTGGCTTGCCACTAGACAGAGGTTGAAGAGATTATATAACAGGAAAATTCACCAACACAGAAATTTGCCACCCACTTTAAAGTACAGAACTTCCCAGTAAATCACCAAACAGAACGTACAAAATCCACATAGGACAGACAAAAGAAAGCTCCCAAGACACGTATCATGCACTGTAGTCACCTCAGATTTCTAGTACGTCTGTTGTGCAGTACTTGTCCTGGCTCTACATACACCAAAAAAAACAATGTTTGTACAATCTAGAGTTTGCAATGGTGCGGTGCGGACATGAACGAAACAGCTCACTCCCACTATATTGCGTGTTAACCCGGTCCAGGTCCCTGCGTGAACAACGGGGCTAGACCAGTCCCCAGCTCTTGCCCTTCTTGGACTCCGTCACCTGAGCAAGTGCTCCAAGACCAACTATTGTAAGGGATTCCAGCTGCATCGGCATAGTGGGGCAATGCAACATGCAGTGTCGTGGCTGCTGGGGCTGACTAGGATACGCTGACAAGGAGGAGCAGTACATGCTGCATCGATGAGCACCAGCTGTCACATCGTGTGGATCGCTATAGGGCTGCGGCCTAGGATTAGTTTACATATCGATGTATAATTGCCTCCACCAAGAGATACTTGTAGTCGGAGTATATTTTAAGTGGTAACTGTTTACACCCAAATTTGGCACCTAGGGATAACATAATGAAAATTGCCAATGTTTAGAAGTCTATCGGTTTTCTCTGATTGGGCCGGTCTGACCGTCATATGTTGGCCAGTCAGACCGACATGTGAGGGCCGGTTAGACCGGCGGTGTGTGGCCGGTCTGACCAGCAGAGTCTGAGTTCGGGTCTGTGTTTGTCAGATCTCGGGTTTCTTTGCTCGGGAAGGCATGTTTCGGGTTTACTTTGGATTCTATCCCGAGTTGGACATGGAGGAGGGCCTGTAGAGGGCAAGACCAACCCACATATAAAGGACATGACCGGTTCAATTGTAACTAACCAATCTACAATCAATCAATCGAATCGTTTTTCATATTGCTTTTAGTTTTCTCTTAGTTTATCCATCTTTGTCGATTTGCGCCATAAATCGTCCGCCGCCGCAGCGAAAGTGTGACACTTCTTTGTAGGTTTGACCTGAAAACCTTCTGTTTTGCCCACGAGACGGGTAGTTATCTAGAATCAGCTCCGCTAGCCAGTTTAGTTATCAAAACCCATCTTGGTTTAACTTTTGCCAGATCGAGGTGGTTGGCGACTCTAAGATCACCGCAAGGCATTTAGGTGCTGCGATCGTGCTTGTCAACTTGTCACAAAAAGTTGCCAACACGATTTTTGGCGACTCCGCTGGGAAATATGCTCAATGTCATCTCAATTTCGACTTCGCCATGACGAAGCCGCCGTCATCCAAGGTGGAGGTGGAACCGGTCAATGTGATACCAGTCGCATTGGAGGAGCTTGATGAGGGAGCACGCAAAGCTTTGGATGAGCATCTCAAGGCGTATACTCAAGATCTATTGACAAAGGCGTGTGCTAGGACTCGTCAAGGCGTGATTTTCAAGCCGGGATCGTTGCCTAAACCAACTTTTGACATGGTAAGTGCTGAAGAGGTATCACAATCTATCCAATAACAAATTGTGCATACAATAGATTCATCTTTGGTTACTTTAAATAATAAGTTAGATGCATCTATTGAAACTCGTTGTGAAGAATTTATGAGGACTAAATTCGGTACCCTCATGGCCAATTTTATGTTCATAGATAAAGCCTCTACTAGTGCTAGCCAAGCCCCTATAGATCAAATAGGAAGTAAAACCGATGCGGCATAGACGCAACAAACCGGTGAGGGGTGGACGACGCACACAGCCGGTCTGACCGGGCCTGATGGCCGGTCAGACCGTGATTTCGCCGCCGGTCAGACCGGGTATTATCCCGGCGGTCAGACCGGACCTCAGATTGGTGTGACCGCGGCTCTGGAGGCCGGTCAGACCGGGAATTGGGCCGATCAGACCAGCGCAATCATCCCTATACAGGGGGTAGATCCAATGACCAATGCTAGTTATTTGTATCATCTTAGAACATTTGATTCCCCTGTATCTACTACCACTAATAGTTCCCAAATCTCCCCTCATGTTCCTAATGCTTATAATGATGTTTCTAGGGGGTATCCTCCCAATACTGGGCTTGGCCAATATAATTATATTGCGCCGCAAGCTCAACCTATTAGGTCACCAAATCCACCACCAAACCAACATAGGCCTGATAGTATGGAGGAATTGATTAGTGGAATTATTAGGGATAAATTCGGGATTGAAGCTAGGAATCATGCTAAGGTTTACCAAAAACCGTATGTTGATTACTATGATAATGTGTCATATCCTCGTGGTTATAGAATTCCCGAATTTATCAAATTTAGTGGTGAGGATAGTATAACCACATGGGAGCATGTAGGTCAATTCTTAGCGCAATGTGGAGAGGCTAGTAGTTCTGATACTTTTAAATTGCGCTTGTTTTCTTTATCTTTGTCCGGTACTGCTTTTACATGGTTTACTTCTTTACCGGCAAATTCTATTCATACTTGGGCTCAATTAGAACAAAGATTTCATGATTATTTTTATACTTGTGAAACTGAGTTTAGGTTATCTGATTTAACATCGGTTAAGCAAAAATATAATGAATCTGTCATTGATTATGTTAAGAGATTTAGAGATGTTAGAAACCGATGTTATAGTTTGAATATAACTGATAGGGATTTGGCTGATCTTGCTTTTAATGGTTTAATTGCTCCTATTAAAGAAATATTAGATGGCCAACAATTTCTTGATGTTAGTCAACTCATGCAGAAGGCTCTGGCTCAGGAAAGCCGGGTTAAAGATAGTAAAAAAATTGTTAGACCATATGAGAAGAAGCCTAATGTTAATTCAATTGATTACCCCGAGGCTAGTGATAGTGAAGGTGAGGGTGATCATGATATGTATGTTGCTGAGTGATCATGGACTAACAAAAATAAGCCTTTTGTTTGTTCTAATTTAATGCGGACTCCTCGTAAAGATCGGCAAAGTGAGATTAAGTATAGTTTTGATGTGGCCAAATGTGATAAGATTTTTTATTATCTTTTGCAAGAAAAACAAATTAGATTACCTAAAGGCCATGTCATACCATCTCAAGAAGAATTGAATCGTCGAGCTTATTGTAAATGGCATGATTCTCACTCTCATTCTACTAATGATTGCAATGTGTTTCAACAACAGGTTCAATCGGCCATAGATAAAGGGCGATTGAAATTCACCGATGGCTCCAAGATGAAGCTTGATCATGATCCTTTTCCGGTGAACACAATTAATTTTGATGATAAGAAGGTATCGATTCGGCCGGAGCAAGCCGAATCTACTAAAGGGAAAGGAGTGGTCATTGGAGAGCCTAGGCCAAAGATGATGGTGCCAAAAAATCCAGAGGTTGGTGTGTGGAAGGAGAATAGGAGTGAAGCTTCGAGTTTTAAAGCTCCTAGAAAGACCAAGGTGACCTTCGATATGCTTTTTGATAAGTATGAGAAACAAGGTGGTGAAAAAGCTCGCAATAAAGGAAAAAGACCAAGATCACCACCTAGGGAGCGATTTGGTCATTCACCAAGACGGTCGGAATCACCTACATATCATCATCCTCTAGACATGTCATGGAGGCCTTATCCAATACCACCGCCGGGTTATCCTTATCCTTACTACATGCCATGAGGGGAAACACCGCCAATGTTCAACCATATGCCTCCAATCCAATTCAACCAAGGGTGGGGAGGACCAAGCAGGCCAGCTCGTGAGCGTTTGTCTTCACCAAACAATGGTCGGTTTTATGGTAAGAACCAGGCCAATGAATAAAAGAGGGAACGAAAGCGCGTCAAGGTGGAGACTAGGACTTCGGAGGTGATTACCATCAAAGTAGGGTCTCATGATGTGCCAATACCTTCTGGAGATGAAGTTGGAGAGTCCTCAAACAACAAGTCCGAAACCGGGACCAGCTCATCGCAATTGGCTGGTCTGACCGGGCCATTTGGCCGGTCTGACCACGGTTCTCACGTTGGTCTTGCCGGGCCATCTAGCCGGTCTGACCGCCGACCTCATGTCGGTCTGACCGGCGCCTCTGGCCGGTCTGACCGGCCGTCTACGTCTGGTCTGACCAGGCTCCAGCGCCGGTTCGACAGGAGATTTGCAAAGAGTAGTGCGGGGGCTTCATCGTCTTTAGGTAGACTCAACAGGGGGCATTATTTACCTCCTGGAACAGAGCCGAAACCAAGGTGGGATGCCTAATGATTTAACGGCTACTCAAAAGAGGAGATTGCAACGTCTTCGGGCCCAAGAATTGAGGGAGAGAGA